GGGGGAAGAATTGACTTTTTTGGGTGAATTCATCAAAATTAAAACCCTTCATCTTCTAAAAAAATAATACGCAATATGCCAAAACAATTTCTTCAGAATAAAATGTCTGAAAATTCATTAAAATAGAAAGAGAATAAAAAAAAGAAATATAGACACCGGAAGAAATTGAAAAATCCCTCTGTCAAGAAAACAAGCTACAATGTAAAATCAAGTTGCAGATCAGTATCAAAAAGGGCCCTTACTCCTGAAACAGGAAAATGAGTTGAGTTATAAACAAGGATAGTGTGGAATATCAACTGGCACATTTTCCAAGTGAAAGAGAGCAGGGAAAAGCATCAATAAAAATGCAGTAGAAGGAGCAGACTACATTTCAACTACTTGGAGTAAGATTCCGCCATGCTCCATTTTGAAAAGTTACAGGAGAGGGAGTCTCTTACACTGAGCTGTCGATTTGAGCACCCACCAACCACCAGCTGAATGAGAGAAGGAAAGAAAAAGAGTTCAATGAAAAAAGAACCAAAGACAGTCTCAGATATACAAAATACATGTTCATCTACTCCTCCAAAATATACTTGTTAGAAAATCTCAGAATCAAAAGCCACTTCCATAAACAATTAAATTACACTTTTAACTCTTTCACTACCAGGGTGTTTTCCTCACCTGGACTGGGCCCTATCCTTGACCTACTTTCTGATTCTGCCGACCGTCGGATAAATTAACGGGTTTTTTTGTCCAATCCTCAATATTAGCCAAATGTATTATATATACGGAAATAAAGGGGAAATAATGACGTATCTCAACATGTGGCTAAAAACAATCACTTTTTAGTCTGAGATTTCAGATTCAATTATTACAAAAGTAGGCGTGGTTTTGAGACAGAAAAAGGAGAGCAGTGAAACACAGCTCACAGTAGTGAAAGAATTCATGGAAAAAAACTTATCAGCTGCGGAGAAAAATGAACGACAGTCACTGATGTATAACAAATTGTGCATTTGTGTTAGTAAAAAAAGCTATAGTTTGAATACACAGCAGCAAAATGCAAGTTGTTATTATATACTCACACCACCGTAAAAAATCTAAGCTGATTTGGACAAATAAAAGAAAAAACTTCTCAAGTTTAAAAAATCACAAAAATAAAAAAAAAACTCCCAGGCCACATGCTCATGCAGAATGTGCTTGAGTTCAAGGCACTCATGTCCTCGTGTGAGTAAATTACAGCACGGTGTAGCTAAGCTGTGAGGATGCTTCTCCCAACAAACTGACAGCTGAGATCAAGTTACAGTTTACCGTGCATGAAAGCAAAGGTTAAGAAATTATGACAATTAGTGAATTAATGACAGTTGATTCATGGCAAACCATTTCAAAAGTACCCCCCTCCCCCCTTTTTCCCCTGCCCAGTCTCTCAATTTTGGAAATAAATAAAATTAAAATAACATACTAAATCATGGAAGAACACACACTAAACTGTTGCAAACAAATCTGGCCTGTGATCTTTATTCTAGTCAAAATCACCAAATCAGACATCGGAAAGATCAGAATCAACGTGCTACAACAAAAGCCGGAGTCATTTACAATGATTTGGACATCAATGTCTTAGTTTGCAAAGCTCTGATTGGGCATTATAGCTGAAATCTTTAAAAGACTTATTTCTACAATTTTTCCTCACTTAACCTTACATTTCTTTTTTCAATTCTCGGATATCGGTTGGTGTTTCTGAACCATATGACATGGTGTTAGGTCATATTGTAAGATAAGCCATGATGTCTCAGCTTGGTTTTGGTTTAAGCCTCCATTAGCGAGTGCTGTTAAACACTTACAAAAAAACAAACCAAAAAAAATCCTGACTTCGGCCACTATTCTAGCACGCTGGCACCATGCATTGGCCTCTTATTTCTTGATATACAATGTTCCAAAACTCAAACATCCCATTAGTAAAAACTGAAAAACCATTCGTATCCTCAAGCAATAAAAATGAACGATGCAAAATGCAAAAGTTGGGGAGGACGGTTAGTGAGGTAAGTCATTTGTTCTATTCTGTTAGTGAGGTAAGTCATTTGTTCTATTCTGTTAGTGAGGTAAGTCATTTGTTCTATTCTGTTAGTGATGTAATTAGTTGTTTGTTGTTCTATTCTGTTAGTGAGGTAAGTCATTTGTTCTATTCTGTTAGTGAGGTAAGTCATTTGTTCTATTCTGTTAGTGAGGTAAGTCATTTGTCCTATTCTGTTAGTGAGGTAAGTCATTTGTTCTATTTGGTTAGTGATGTAATTAGTTGTTTGTTGTTCTATTCTGTTAGTCAGGTAAGCTGTTTGTTCTATTCTGTTTGTGAAGTAATTAGTTTTAGTTGTTTGTTCTATTCTGTTAGTGATGTAAGTGTTTTGTTCTATAGAACTTTATTCTTCCTTAGATCAAAGTGGTTATCTCCAGACTGTCTAACCCCCAGTCAGGTAGATGAGAATGCGCAAGATGCACTGATAAAATAGCGTGTGTACCATGTGACTTTGTCATGTGACTTTGTGACACTTTATCGGCTCTGCTTGCCTACAACGACATCATCTGACTTAATGAGAGAGATTGAGTCCTCAAAGGGGAATATTTCGCTTATGTCTAACGAGTATTTCATTTATATGTCAAAAGAGTATTTCACTTATGGGTCAAATGAGTAGTTCCATTTATATAATGTCAAATGAGTAGTTCCATTTATATATCAAATGAGTATTTCATTCCATTTATATGTCAATTCATGTCAAATGAGTATTCCATTTATATGTCAAATGAGTATTCTATTTATCTGTCAAATGAATATGACTCCACTGAAAACAAACTGAACCTCTGAAGTTTGGGAAAGTCACACGTGCACACACCATCACGTTAGTCTTAGATCGGGAGTGAGTCAGACAAGCCAATCCTGCACCGTAGTTCCAAAGTGTCATACCTAAGTCAGGGGCTCTTTCTACGACCTTTGACCTATCAGGGAAACCACATGATCACTGTGACAACAAAGGTATTGAGGAGTAACTGGAAGATAGATATTGCACAATCCATACAACCATACACAGAAGTAAATACATATACACACAAACAAACACACACAAACATACACACACACACACACACACACACACACAGAAACATGCACAACAGCACACACACACACACAACATCTCTCTCTGTCTCTCTCTCTTTCACGCACACACACACACACACACACACACACACACACACACACACACACACACACAGACACACACACACACACACACACACACACACAGACACACACACACACACACACACCCCAATCACACACATAAACACTATTTTCACAAATTAAAAAACATATACCACTGAATTTTTAAAAAAAAGAAGACCAAAACAAGCAAAAACCAAATAGAATTAGAACTTATACGGTTAAGAATTATCAATATATTCTCCTTGTATCATCTGACACGAAATATCAACTGGAGAATAAGGTGTTTTAAGCAGGTAAAAAAGTCATGGATGACAGACCAAAGTAAAGATGAGGGGGTAAGATGCAAAACCCGCTAAGCGACATTTTGGAAAAAAATCGAGATTTATTCCTTCTAAGTGCACATTGTTACCGGCTATCAGATGCACAAAGTGTTTTCATCTAAAACCCAGCACATACTTCATAAAAGCCACCAAAAAATCTTCTTTTTACACATGTTTGTGTGCACAGCAGCATTTTAAAAAAGCTGACTTTCTCAAAAGTGCTAAAGTGGATGTAGTGGGTTTTGCATCTCAGTCCCTCCTCGTAGGCTACATGTTCATCCAACCATAGACGTCATTGTGTGCGATAAGACCATCTGAGGGGTTCCTGTTACCCATGGTGTGTATAGGAATCTGATTATTATTATAACTCTTTTTATTGCTACCAGTACCACACGGGGGAATCATCCCTGCTGCCAGCAAGTCCACAATCAATAGGAACTTTGGACTACATCTTCTACTTTTTCTCTTCAACGACCTCTTTTTTGAGAGAAAGCTATTAATTTTCTGCCTCTGAGCTTCCAGGTATAAAACTACTGTGCAAAATGAGGTAGCAATAAAAACAATAATAATAATAATAACAACAACAATAATAATAATAACAATAATAATAATAATAATAATAATAATAATAACAATAATAATAATAATAATAATAACAATAATAATAATAATAATAACAATAATAATAATAATAACAACAATAATAATAATAACAATAATAATAATAATAATAATAATAACAATAATAATAATCATAATAATAACAATAATAATAATCATAATAATAATCAAAATCATAATAATAAAAATAATAATAATAATAATAATAATAATAATAATAATAATAATAATAATAATAATAAATAATAATAATGCTGGTAATAACAATGATAATAATAATTGCACTAATATAGCATCTAGTGAAAATCACTTCTAGAAAGAAGATCCAGTACGCTGTATAATCTGTTATCCACACTAAGCCACAAAATCTGTGGTCAACGTTCAGCCTAAAGTGAGTCATTCATAATCAGAGCAACATCTACCTAGGAAGAAAATAGGACAATAACAGCAGTAACGCTGAATAGAATATATGCGAGGCAGCACGGTGAAATCAGGCGCTCGTCAAAATACAGAAATCGGGGAAATAGGCATTTCTCTGCCAGTTTGGACATTTTTATCGATTGGTTGAGTTTTTTTTACGTCCATATAAAAACACATTTGCGTGTGAATTTTAGTGAACAACATTGATAAAAGGCACAAAATATGTCATTTTTCAGTTTTCAAGGACTCTTTAGCTCTTAATTTTACCAAATTTTGGCGGTCATTTTCTCGTTAATTTCACCATTGGAACCAGGCAACTTCACTTCCTATTGCAAATAACTTGAGTTCTATTCAAGATAGACGGATGTTTATTTCATTGGAAGCAAGGCAAATATAAATCAGTTTTTAGATTATACCAATAACTCCGCATGCCCAAAAATTAACGAGCGCCTGATTCCAACGCCTCGTGGCACATATGAATCTGAAAAGCTGTTCTAGACAGGTGTTCTAAAGAACAGGGACTCTGAAAATGCCCCACACACTCAACAAATAAATGTACAAACACAGATATATACGTGTAGTGCGTATATTCGTAAAATAGAACTGTGTGCTTCAACTAAACTGCCGTAAGCTGACAAAACGCCTTTTTCATTTTGACGCCAAAATTTTTTAATTTCCTAAATTGAAATCCTGATCTGTTACCCTACCTGTGTGAAAAAATCAAAGTGAAACTGTGACTAGGTTTTTAATAAATTAGAATTCCAATTTCGGAAGAATGCTATTTTTAAATGGTTACACTGACAAAAAACCTCTTTTTCTAGAAACTGCAGCGATAAAAAAGAGGGGCTCTGTCATCTTACTGCAGTAAAGTGGGACAAGGAGAAAAAATAAAAAAATTTAAAACGGTGCAGACAAAATCAACACATATACCTCAAACCCCCCCCCCCCCCAAAACCAGTATCACAAGGGACCTGTAACTTTGCCCTCACCTTCTGTCAGTCTCGTCCGTGGCTTCCTCACAGCAGCCGTTCATCAGCTGGTTGGGAGTCCACATGATGATGAGTCCCTCAGAGCTCTGGTGGAGCGACAGGTAGCCTGCCAGGGCCTCTTTGTCTTCCTGGGGTCAGAGAAATAGAAACCATTTGTTTGTTTCCTAGTTCGGAAAAAAAACCCGGTTTATTTGTTTGTTCTGAAGTAACCATTTGTTTGTTTCCTTGTTCTGAAGTACACATCTGTTTGTTTCCTTGTTCTGAAGTACACATCTGTTTGTTTGTTTGTTCTGAAGTACACATTTGTTTGTTTGTTTGTTCTGAAGTACACATTTGTTTGTTTGTTTGTTCTGAAGTACACATTTGTTTGTTTGTTTGTTC